AAAAAAAAAAAAAAAAAACCCAGAAAATAACAAGTGCTGGTGAGGATGTGGGGAAATTGGAACCCTTGTGCAGCCACTAAGAAAAACAGTTCGGTTCAGGTCATAATCTCATGGTTTGTGGGTTCGAGTTTGTGGGTTTGAGCGCTGCTCAAAAATTTAAACATAGAAATTACCAAATGACCCGACAATTCCATTTCTGAGTATATACCTGAAAGAACTGAACACAGGGTCTTGGAAAGATATTTTGACACCTATGTGCCTAGCAGTGTAATTCCCAAGAGCCAAAAAGTGGAAGCAACCCGAGTGCTCATTAATAATAAATGGATAGGGGCGCCTGGGTGGCTCAGTCAGTTAAGCGTCCGACTTCGGCTCAGGTCATGTTCTCCCGGTTTGTGAGTTCAAGCTCCGCATCGGGCTCTGTGCTGATAGCTTGGAGCCTGGAGCCTGCTTCGGCTTCCCTGTCTCCCTCTCTCGATCAAGAGTCAGATTCTTAACCCACTGAGCCATCCAGCCACCCCTATAGGTAGAATCTAAAAAACAAAAGAGAGATAGACAACCAAAAAGACAGACTGTAATACAGAGAAGAAACTGACGGTTCCCAGAGGGGAATTGGGTCGGGGGACAGGTGAAATTGAGGGGATTAAGAAGTACAAACTTCTAGTTATAAAATAAATAAGTCATGAAAATGAACATACAATATAGGGAATATAGTCAATAATTTGTAATAATGTTCTATGGTGACGGATGGTGACCACACTTATCGTGGTGTGCACTGAGTAATGTATAAAGTCGTTGAATCATTATGTTGTACACCTGAAACCAATATAACACTGTATGTCAATTATACTTCAATAAAAAAGCCAAAAAGCTTACAAAAAATTAAAAGACTGTATGTTATGTAAAATAAACCGGTCACAAAACGACAAAATCACAGACAGGAAGTATAATGGTGGTTACCAGGGGATCGGGGGGTGTATTATTGTGTAATGGTAATAGTTTCAGGTTTGCAATATGAGAAGATTTCTGAAAATGAACGGTGGTGATGGTAACGTAAGAATAATGTACGTAATGCCACTGAACTGCACAATGAAAAATGGTAAAGACATTTTACGAGTATTTGACCAAAATAAAGAAATCAGGAAAAAAAATGAATAAATTAGTCTTATGCAGAATAAAAATGGGCGCAGGGCTTGAATATGCCCATGAAAAGATCCTCAACATCACTAATCAATACGGAAATACAAATCAAAACCACAATGAAATACCACTTCACAGCCATCGAGACGGCTAATATTAAAAACAGGGGCGCCCAGGGGCGCCTGGGTGGCGCAGTCGGTTAAGCGTCCGACTTCAGCCAGGTCACGATCTCGCGGTCCGTGAGTTCGAGCCCCTCGTCAGGCTCTGGGTTGATGGCTTGGAGCCTGGAGCCTGTTTCCGATTCTGTGTCTCCCTCTCTCTCTGCCCCTCCCCCGTTCATGCTCTGTCTCTCTCTGTCCCAAAAATAAATAAAAAACGTTGAAAAAAGGGGCGCCTGGGTGGCGCAGTCGGTTAAGCGGCCGACTTCAGCCAGGTCACGATCGCGGTCCGTGAGTTCGAGCCCCGCGTTGGGCTCCGGGCTGATGGCTCGGAGCCTGGAGCCTGTTTCCGATTCTGTGCCTCCCTCTCTCTCTGCCCCTCCCCCGTTCATGCTCTGTCTCTCTCTGTCCCAAAAATAAATAAATGTTGAAAAAAAAAATTAAAAAAAAACAAAAACGTTGAAAAAAATTAAAAACAGGCTTACCAAACGATCTAGCAATTCTGGATATCTACCCCAAATGATTGAAAACAGTGACTCCAACTGCTATTTGCACGCCCATGTTCACAACAGCGCTATTCACAATAGCCAAAAGGTAGAAGCCACTCAAGTGCCCACTAATAAATGAATAGATCAATGAAATTCTGTATTTACAAACAATGGACTATTACTCAACCCTAAAAAAGGAAGGGAATTCTGAGACACGCTACATCGTGGATGAACCCCGATAACATTATAGTAAGTGAAATACTTCAGGCATAAAAAGAAAAATACTGTGTAATCCCACTTATATGAGGCACCTACAGTAGTCAAATTCATCAGAACACAAAGTAGAAAGGTGATCGCCAGGGGCTGGGGAAATGGGGGAACAGAGAGTGGTTCAGCGTGCATCCTTTTAGTTTTGCAAGGTGGAAAGAGTTCCGGAGATTCGTTGTAAAAAAAAAAAATATGAATGCACTTTAGCGAACTATACACTGAAAAAAATGGTTAAGATCGTATATTTTATCTTTACACATATTTTACCACAATTTTTTTTAATTTATTTTTTTTTAGTAATCTCTACACCGATAAATGGCTCAAACTTAGGACCCTGAGGTCAAAAGCTGCATATGCTCCTCTGAGCCAGCCACGACTCCCTATTTCACCAGCTTTTTAAGAAGTCTTTTTTTCTTTTTTTAATTTTTTTTTTTTTTTGAGAGAGAGACAGAAAGAGAGCGCGCGCGCACGAGAGCACTTCAGCGCAGAGCCCGATGCGGGCTCGACTGGGCTCGAACTGACGAACCGGGAGATCAGGACCTGAGCCCAAATCAAGAGTTGGACGCTTAACCGCTTAAACGACTGAGCCACCCAGGCTCCCCTTAAGTCTTTTTTTCTTGAAGTTTGTGCTTGTTTGTGTAATCTCTATGCCTAGGTGGGGCTCGAACCTCGAACTCACGACTCCCAGAGATCAAGAATCCCACGCTCTCCCAACTGAGCCAGCCCGGCGTCCCCACCACAATTTAAAAAAAAACAAAAACAAAAAGACCACCCACCACAGATTTCCACAGACTTGTTTCATATAATTACTGTATACAAATATTTCCCTTGATGCACAGAAGGCATTCTCCCCAACCCTAGTCCTTTTTGGTTTAGGAGGGGGAGAAGGAGGTCGG